CTGATTGTTGTTTGAGACAACCAAACCGGAAATGACAACGTGACAGCAGAGATCACATCAGCAATAGGTATGGGTTTCATATGATTTATTTTGTAAAAATGCACTGACGTGTAGCGTAATTCACTGTGGTTTGAATTCCAATATCTTCCAGATGAATAAATTATATCGCCAACTTGAACAAGGGGATATTATGTTGTGACAACGATAGTCTGCCGTCTGTTTATGTTTGTCACTGTGAATAGCCATGAACACAACGACGGAAATTATCATGAATAATTTGTTGCACGTTATTCTACTGCTTTACTGTCCAGATCATATTACACTCCATCATGAATAACACACCCCAAGTCAAATTAATGACACTTTGCATAACTGACACGATCGTTGAGTTTTGCCATAGTTCACGGTTGGTGTGAAATTTGATTCCATCATCTCCACAACGCTTGCCCATTGCCCATTGTCTTGCGAACTAAATTATTACGATCTACAATTAATGTTCCCTTTGAATTCGTTATAACCGTAGTTTGCTGTATAAACTTACTTTGATATTCCCAATGGTGCGTGAATGTTACTGAGTCTCTTGTGTGTCGGGGGCACGGGTGGCCCAGTCGTCTAAGGCGCCGCGATTCGCTGTGCAGAGTTGAAGATACAAGCCAAACACTTCTGATAAAGACTATGTTGAGAATGTAGAGGGGAAAGGGCTTCACCTTGAGCACCTTGTTTTCTTTAAATACGATGTACCGTGACATTATAAAGTGGTACATAGGTAGATTTAATACTAATCTATAGATGTAAACCCATTTGGAGATACATCTGTGTGTTTAAAGTCGATTTTTACAGCCCGGGCCAAGTCGGACCCAACACAAGCCAAACACTTCTGATCGAGACTATGTTGAGAATGTAGAGGGGAAAGGGCTTCACTTTGAGCCCCTTGTTTTCTTTAAATACGATGTACCGTGACATTATAAAGTGGTATATAGGTAGATATAATACTTAGCTATAGATGTGAATCCATTTGATGATACATCTGTGAGGTTTAAGTTGATTTTGACATTTTGTATTAAGAAAATACAGTAAAAGTGCTTGACTTTAACGGCTCAGATTTCTTTAAATGCGGTACTCTGGGACATTATAAAGTAGTGTACAGGTAGGTATAATACTAATCTATAGATGTAAACACGTTTGAAGATACATCTGTGTGTTTAAAGTCGATTTGGACCGCCCGGGCCAAGTCGGACCCAACACAAACCAAACACTTCTGATAGAGACTATGTTGAGAATATAGAGGGAAAAGGGCTTCACTTTGAGCCCCTTGTTTTCTTTAAGTACAGCGATCTGAGACACTATAAAGTGGTATTTAGGTAGATATAATACTAATCTAAAGATGTGAATCAATTTGATGACACATCTGTGAGGTTTAATTTCATTTTGACAACACGGGCCAAGTCGGACCGAACACTTCTGACTTGGATTTTCTTAAGAAAATACGGTAAAAGTGCTTCACTTTGAGCCCCTTGTTTTCTTTAAATACGATGTACCGTGACATTATAAAGTGGTATATAGGTAGATATACTAATCTATAGATATAACACATTTGAAGATACATCTGTGCGGTTTAAAGTCGATTGTGTCACAATATTCAATCACGTTTTCCTCAATCGCATTGAAACAAAATTCCCACTGGTCAGTTCGCCACCGCATGTAATTAAATAATTATTTCGAGATTTCGTTAGAATGTAAGATATTCAGACAAACGTTATGCAATAAAAGACGAATAGTTTTTTTCATTAAAATACGCGCACGCGTACCTGTATATTTCATACCTACCCCATTAACCGATGATACACATCTTGATGAATATCTCAAGGCACTAATTCATCTTTCATAAACATTTGTTTGTCTTTGTGCTTAATATATCCACATATCAACGAACATTTGTAAAACATGTATCCACAAAAAAATAAACATTTACAGGCTAGGTGTTTGCCCACAGCAACACCTGCATAACTGTTTATTCACGCGTGGTGTGGTAGATCGTAATTGACCGACAGCAGGTATATCTTTAAATAGTAATGTAATGATATAATATAAAGTATATTTAACACGATACAATATACTTTGCACACGGTTAGTTGATGCTTTAAAGGGACTGACGAAAACATGGGCGAAATATTTTAATAACGCCGTAAAAAAGTTGAATCATGTGTCATGCTTGTAGACACACCTTTATGTATTTGCGAAACTAAAACTTTTGAGCAAAGGAAAATATTCTCCCCCATGGGCCAATCTTTCTCGTCCAGAGCGAAATATTTCAATAACGCCGTAAAATAGTTGAATTAAGTTAAAATTTGTTAAATTATGTGACATGAAACTTCTAAGAACACCTTCAAGTATATGCGACACTAAAACATGAGTTTTAAGCAAAGGGAAATATTCTCGCCCATGGGCTAAACCTTTTCTCGCCCATGGGCGAAATATTTCAATATCGCTATAAAATCGTTGAATTAAGTTAAAATGAGTTTAATTTTGTGTCATGATACTTGAATAAATACATTTAATGTATTTGCGAAACAAAAACATGAGTTTTGAGTAAAGGAACATATTCTCGCCCATGGGCCTGCCCATTGGCCAAACCTTTTTCTCGCCCATGGGCGAAATATTTCAATATCGCTATAAAATCGTTGAATTAAGTTAAAATGAGTTTAATTTTGTGTCATGATACTTGAATAAATACATTTAATCAAAAACATGAGTTTTGGGTAAAGGAACATATTCTCGCCCATGGGCCAGTCTTCGCCCATGGGCAGGCCCATGGGGGACATAGTGTAAATATTGGGTTTTTGAACAATTTATTTTTCATTTTTTCTTCCTTGGTATGTTCCCATGAAAACAGAATGTTTAATTTTGTAAATACCTTTAACCGAGACTGGGCAAAGACAGTAGAGTTTCTGGACTTTTGGGTTTCCAGAATTAAAATGGGACGTGTTTAACTCAAAATCAGTCAAGGAAAAGAGTAATACAATATATTGTACCGTATATTTAGCACAACTGTCACAAGATAGCGTGACTATTCTGTCTCGAAAGTGTCGCGATAGTGGCGTGAAAGTGGCGTGAAAGTGTCGCGATAGTGGCGTGAAAGTGGCGCGATAGTGCCGTGAAAGTGGCGCGAAAGTGCCGCGATCTTGTTAAATGTTATCGCGAAAATGGCGCGAAAGTGTCTCAAAGGGGCGCAGTAATCGCGTTAATGGCTCAAAAGTGGCGTGATAATTCCGCGTTAGTGCCGCAATAGTGGCGAGAAAATTTCGCGAAATTTTCGCAAAAATAGGGGAAGTTACTTATGAAATGTAGTGTACATAGACAATCAGGAAGGTACACGGACAATCAGGAAGGTACATAGACAATCAGGAAGGTACATAGACAATCAGGAAGGTGCACGGACAATCAGGAAGGTACACGGACAATCAGGAAGGTACATAGACAATCAGGAAGGTGCACGGACAATCAGGAAGGTACATAGACAATCAGGAAGGTACATAGACAATCAGGAAGGTGCACGGACAATCAGGAAGGTACACGGACAATCAGGAAGGTACACGGACAATCAGGAAGGTACATAGACAATCAGGAAGGTACACGGACAATCAGGAAGGTGCACGGACAATCAGGAAGGTACACGGACAATCAGGAAGGTGCACGGACAATCAGGAAGGTGCACGGACAATCAGGAAGGTACATAGACAATCAGGAAGGTACATAGACAATCAGGAAGGTGCACGGACAATCAGGAAGGTACACGGACAATCAGGAAGGTACACGGACAATCAGGAAGGTACATAGACAATCAGGAAGGTACACGGACAATCAGGAAGGTGCACGGACAATCAAGAAGGTACACGGACAATCAGGAAGGTGCACGGACAATCAGGAAGGTGCACGGACAATCAGGAAGGTACATAGACAATCAGGAAGGTACACGGACAATCAGGAAGGTGCACGGACAATCAGGAAGGTACACGGACAATCAGGAAGGTGCACGGACAATCAAGAAGGTGCACGTATATTTCATATAATGCCCATTTAGCATGTTTTCGAGCAATAGATCATAGCATACCCGTTTAGATCCCCGCGTAATTGTAAAGAGTCTTCCTTATATGCATTGTAACGATCCACAAGCTATGAAACTTGATGAACATGTAACAGCTTCACGTGACATATGCAAGTGTATCACACAAAAACAACTCACACATTATGAAAATAGAGTTTGGTATATTTTTCAAATATTTTCCAACGTTTTGTCAATTCAAAGTAGGGGTGTATTTTAAGTTTGAGAAAATACACTTATCTGACTGCTCGCAAACACGAATCACCTCAACTTACCCTTTACCTCTTACTCCTCGATACCTTACCTTGACCGAACATTATATTTTGTATTGACCATATATGTCGAGAGAGCAACACACTTCCCTACCTGACACGTGTGCATTACTGGCCATTAGCCTCTCAGAACTGACACGTGTGCATTTACTGGCCATTAGCCTTTCAGAACTGACACGTGTGCATAACTTGCAATTGGTCTTTCAGAACTGACACAGGTGCATTACTGGCCATTAGCCTTTCAGAACAGACACCCGTGCATAACTTGCCATTAGCCTTTCAGAACTGACACGTGTGCATAACTTGCCATTAGCCTTTCAGAACTGACACGTGTGCATAACTTGCCATTAGCCTTTCAGAACAGACACCCGTGCATAACTTGCCATTAGCCTTTCAGAACTGACACGTGTGCATTACTGGCCATTAGCCTTTCAGAACAGACACCCGTGCATAACTTGCCATTAGCCTTTCAGAACTGACACGTGTGCATAACTTGCCATTAGCCTTTCAGAAGTGACACGTGTGCATAACTTGCCATTAGCCTTTCAGAACTGACACGTGTGTATAAATTTGTCATTAGCCTTTCGGACGTCATCTCCTGTGTACCTAAAACATATTTTACTGACCTTTCCCTTTCATCAGGTCTTCTATTTCCTGTTGTTTTGTGGGAGTGTCGACGAAAGCTAAGGTCCCGTGTTGTCGCAGGCATTCAGCTGCTGCGTCTTTCCAGTTCAGTTTCCGAGTGGAGACGATGAACTCTGTTGTGTAGGTAACTCCATAGGACGGACTGGTCTCTGTGAAGAAACGTATTGTCGTTAACAGAATGTAACACAATTTGTTATTGATAGTAGGGAATCGACAATTTGTGAGCATTGTTTATATAATCAAAGAGTCACCATGTAACTAAAGAGGTTGTTAAGGTTACAGTAAAGATGGACCAAAAGTTGACCTGTGATTGATTAACTTTACCAATGTGATGGGTTTGTAATGTCGCCACATTGAGTAGCTTATGTCACCATGTAAGCAATGTATGGCGTATTGTTTTAGAGGCTTGGACATGTGACAGGCGTTAGAGTTGTGGGAGCTTTGGATTTTGAGGTCTGAGGCGGGCCCAGGACAGACGTCTCATACTTACTAGGTCCCTGTATTGACCATGTGGTCCGTGACATTCCTACCAGTGGAATATTGGGATGGATTCAACCATGTCGGTCCGTGACATTCCTACCAGTGGAATATTGGGATGGATTCAACCATGTCGGTCCGTGACATTCCTACCAGTGGAATATTGGGATGGATTCAACCATGTGGTCCGTGACATTCCTACCAGTGGAATATTGGGATGGATTCAACCATGTGGTCCGTGACATTCCTTCCAGTGGAATATTGGGATGGATTCAATCATGTCGGTCCGTGACATTCCTACCAGTGGAATATTGGGATCGATTCAACCATGTCGGTCCGTGACATTCCTACCAATGGAATATTGGGATGGATTCAACCATGTCGGTCCGTGACATTCCTACCAGTGGAATATTGGGATGGATTCAACCATGTCGGTCCGTGACATTCCTACCAGTGGAATATTGGGATGGATTCAACCATGTCGGTCCGTGACATTCCTACCAGTGGAATATTGGGATGGATTCAACCATGTCGGTCCGTGACATTCCTACCAGTGGAATATTGGGATGGATTCAACCATGTGGTCCGTGACATTCCTACCAGTGGAATATTGGGATGGATTCAACCATGTGGTCCGTGACATTCCTACCAGTGGAATATTGGGATGGATTCAACCATGTCGGTCCGTGACATTCCTACCAGTGGAATATTGGGATGGATTCAACCATGTCGGTCCGTGACATTCCTACCAGTGGAATATTGGGATGGATTCAACCATCTCGGTCCGTGACATTCCTACCAGTGGAATATTGGGATGGATTCAATCATGTCGGTCCGTGACATTCCTACCAGTGGAATATTGGGATGGATTCAACCATGTCGGTCCGTGACATTCCTTCCAGTGGAATATTGGGATGGATTCAACCATGTCGGTCCGTGACATTCCTACCAGTGGAATATTGGGATGAATTCAACCATGTCGGTCCGTGACATTTCTACCAGTGGAATATTGTGATGGATTCAACCATGTCGGTCCGTGATATCCTTCCAGTGGAATATTGTGATGGATTCAACCATGTCGGTCCGTGACATTCCTACCAGTGGAATATTGTGATGGATTCAACCATGTGGTCCGTGACATTCCTACCAGTGGAATATTGGGATGGATTCAACCATGTCGGTCCGTGACATTCCTACCAGTGGAATATTGGGATGGATTCAACCATGTCGGTCCGTGACATTCCTACCAGTGGAATATTGGGATGGATTCAACCATGTCGGTCCGTGACATTCCTTCCAGTGGAATATTGGGATGGATTCAACCATGTCGGTCCGTGACATTCCTACCAGTGGAATATTGGGATGGATTCAACCATGTGGTCCGTGACATTCCTACCAGTGGAATATTGGGATGGATTCAACCATGTCGGTCCGTGACATTCCTACCAGTGGAATATTGGGATGGATTCAACCATGTCGGTCCGTGACATTCCTACCAGTGGAATATTGGGATGGATTCAACCATGTCGGTCCGTGACATTCCTACCAGTGGAATATTGGGATGGATTCAACCATGTGGTCCGTGACATTCCTACCAGTGGAATATTGGGATGGATTCAACCATGTCGGTCCGTGACATTCCTACCAGTGGAATATTGGGATGGATTCAACCATGTCGGTCCGTGACATTCCTACCAGTGGAATATTGGGATGGATTCAACCATGTCGGTCCGTGACATTCCTTCTAGTGGAATATTGTGATGGATTCAACCATGTCGGTCCGTGACATTCCTACCAGTGGAATATTGGGATCGATTCAACCATGTCGGTCCGTGACATTCCTACCAGTGGAATATTGGGATGGATTCAACCATGTCGGTCCGTGACATTCCTACCAGTGGAATATTGGGATCGATTCAACCATGTCGGTCATTTGTAAGAGACAGGAAAGTTGAACTGTGATTGTAGTTAGACTTAGTCTGTGCACAATGTGTCGTGGGCTAATCGAATTGTGATCGGAATATGTTCGTGACGAGCTTCCGGATTGTGTCCGATTGGTGAAGTTTTCTGTATCACGTTGAGTATTCACCCATTTTTCTTTGTCACATACATGTATATGTTAGTTTGCCAGATTGTATTCGCAATTGTGTAAATATTGAATAACTGTAGGTTTGGGTAATAATTAAACATTGTTAATAGTGAAACTGAGTTGGGTCCTTTCTCTTGTTACTTGAGACGCTGTGTCGCTCCTACCAAATTCAATATTCTAAGAAGGCGCCGGTGAATTTCATTTGACACAGAGAAGAACTTGTCAGTCATCGCTAAAACCATGGAATTGTTTCCTCTAAAGGAGGACCTAAACAATATGTGGGGACCCACGGCAGATATTTTTCAGAACTAAGTTCTTGTCAAGTGAACGCTTTTAATTTCTGTGAAGCATTGTGAACTAAAATGTGTCAGAGGGAGACCATACGCAATGTTGTCGATGGCTTAATATTGATCCAGTGGTCAATGGATTGTGACGACTGAAAAGAAACTTGCATTTCCAGTGGTTCTCATAGTCAGAGACGAAGGATCGTTAATTACAATCTTGCCGATTCCCTTGCTATCATAATGAAAAAGAGTAGCACGTAAATAACATGTTCTTGAAGTTAGGAAATGAATACAATGTTTCAAGTAAGTTACTTTGGAAACCTTTCAGCCGCCATTCGTCGAATGAACCGTTTCGCTTTGCCTAAGAAAGTTTATATATTTATGAATTAAATTTTTATAATTTTTTGGAAAGACTAAGTGCCCCATTGATGCATGGTGATGAAAAGGAACACGTGTATTTTCCTTTTTGTGTCGGGGTGACATTGACATTGAACATGGGCATGTTATGACCTGTGTCAGTGCCACTCAATGGTGTTATAGTAGACAATATATATACAATCAAAGTGAACTATATTCTTGGACACTATGTAAGTTATTATATCTGATACATGTTACTCATGTACTAATGCATACGGGAACTTGGGGAAACGTCCTGTGCCCACTTCGGCCACCTTAATTTTACGCGCAGTGACTTTTTTCTTTACTCTTTGTCCCAACCCCACAACCCGCCGACATTTTCGACATTGGTCTTGAAATATAAGGGTTTACCGATGGACATTTAATAATTACCGATATGACTTCAAATGGCTGAAAAGTCATCAGTTTGGTGCTTTTTAATTATTTTAGTGATACCATCGAATGCAAATTTCAAAGAGCTTTTCACATGTCTCTAACACAAGGTATGATTTCCAAAAGTGGTCACGTGACCAGCCCCTATTGCATAATGTTCGGAAATGACGATTGAACCCGGTTGGGACGCGTCAAGGATATCAGTATCTGTTGATAAAATCTTTAACCTTGTACATTATCTCGACCATCAACGGTTTGTTATGAAGAGATATGTATCGTCTGTAAAATATTTAGATAAAATTTCTAAAAAAGAAAGATTTTTTTTTCAAACCAATGTAGTAGACATCTAAAAGCTACATGTTCTTCCAATTGAAGCTGACACGCCGTTATATATATATAGAATACTAAACGAGCTCCCGTGTAATACCACAACTATTCCCGAGTTTCATAAAATTGGTTTTACACGGGAGCGAGTTTAGTATTTAATTATTACTTGCCATTTATAACGTTTTTAGAATTATACTGTTGAGTATGAATAGGCTGACACCTACACGATCCACGGCATAGTCCAATTGAATTTAACAGAATAATACTTCAAACACGTCAAAAGTTGAAACGTATGAATTTAATACCATACAACGGTCCTCCTTAAGAAATTATCGTAGGGCTAAGACTATCGCAACTCACATACTGTAACAGACTAACGACTGTCGTTGCGCTACAATACGATCGCCTTGTGGAACGGGCCTTGCACCTCAAAGTTTACTACAATAACGTCACAATACCCGATGACGTAATTTGTGGAATATTCGTTGCAAGATCCATCGGCAAGACAATGCCATGTGACGTCAGCCAAGCAACAAGGTTGCTGGGGTCATCGAGTGTGCATAAGCTCCTCTCAGTGATCTATCAACTCCACACGCAATGTTGCATTCGTCACCACTCGCCCCTTTCCGTAACCTGCAAGAAGACTCGTCCCCCTATCGATGAATGTTATGTGCGAAAATACGACAAACCAATCAGAATGCGCGTATGATTTCAAGTTCTTCGTCAAAGAATCCCTCAGAAATATGTTTTGATTTTACATATGTTTTGCATCTAAAAATATAGCAAAGACACAGTGAAATGTGTTCAATCATACTGTATAATTCCGCATGTCCCGATGTGCTTTAAATTGCATCTGAAATATATGTAATATATGGGGAATGTAAGTGAACCATTACGCAACTAGTTGACAATTGTTTTAGGTATGCCAGTTTGCGCTGAGACGGAACCCGGTCGCAAAAATGGCCATGAGCGGGGCACGAGTCGCTATTCGGCTTGTCCCGGAATAACACGAGTTGGTCGCGAATGGCAATGTCGTTGAATAAGCCAAGGGATGTTGAGAGCTTTCAATATTTGTTCGTGAAACGTGTTCCGAGAGTACATAAGCACGCGTTTTGGTATTACACAATGTGTAATACAGCTGTATGTTTATTAAACGGGTGATCTCTTCACGGGCAAGTAAAAAAATGAAATACCCAAAAAGTAGCACCGGCAAGAGTTTGGTCAATGTAAATATACTACAACGATAAGGGAACAGATGAAATGATAGTGAAGGTGTAATGTCGATAAATGTCTGTAGAATTAATTTCGGGCGTGTAGATCAATATTTGTGTTCACCATGTTGGGCGATACACGCATCACACCTTGATGGCAGACTCTTGACCTTGGTATTGCCCGCCATTCCGCCTGAAGAGCTTCCCCAAGTCGGTTTTGCCCAGATTATGTTTCTAGGTTTGTCAGCACCATACTCGTGCTCGTGGGTTTCACCGAAGTGGTGAACGTCTGAGACCTGCATCACTTCGGGCTTTCCTCCCACATCGAGCTGACACGCCGTGATATAACTGGAATACTGTTAAAAGCGGCGTTAAACCCAACCCACTCACTCATGCACCCAAGCTGGGCCACCTTGGCGGGTGCTGTGTCTATGGTACACACTCTGCGCCCGAGAACATCCCACAGACGCTGTATGGGGACATGTCAGGGGACTTAGGGGGCCAATCCTATGTCCGTATTCCTTCGGAGAGAGAGAATCGGTTACATCCTAGGCTCGATGAGGTCTGGCTTTATCATCTTGTAGTTCAACCTTCTACCGACTGTTCTAGTGTAGTGAACAACGACAGAACGCAAAATTCGTCTTCATGTCGCTGGCAAGTTAAATGACCATTTACAACAACCAAATCAGTTCGCCTGTCATGTGTGATACTGCCCAACCCTATGACGCTACCGATCCTATACCGATTATAGTCAAGAATTGTTGCCCTGGCATACCCCTCGCCGCTACGTCGCCAACAATGTTTCTGTCATCTGTTCATCTGAGGCAACATATTGATTCGTCTGTTAACATGGTGAAACGCCATTGGTGCACAATGTGCCTCTGTTGTTACTCATCGATCCCAATTGCGTGCATCGATGCTTATGATATCAATCACTAGATTGTCTGGTCGAGACTCGATTATTTACAAACCGCCGTTATATAGCTGGAATATTGCTGAGTGCGGCGTTAAACAACAAACCAAACCAACACCCTGTTGTTACCTTGACCGCTCCCATCTTTGCCGCCTATGGTAAACCGTTAGGGCCACGCCTTCCAGGGAATGCCTTGCTTTTAGGAAGGGTGCAAAGAGCCAGATTATAACGGTAGATGTTGAAATTCGCCTTCCTGTTATTGTACGAAGGCGCTGTTGATAACAGAGGCAGATATGAATCTATTGCGTAGTGCAATTAATAAACTAAGACGATATTGTTTAGGTGTCGTTCTTGAGACCTGGGGGGCACGGGTGGCCCAGTCGTTTAAGGCGCCGCGATTCGCTGTGCAGAGCTGCGTCCCTTGGGTATGCCAGAAACATATGATTGTGGGTTCGAATCCCGGTTCGCCCCAATTATGTTTCTAGGTTTGTCAGCACCATACTCGTGCTCGTGGGTTTCACCGAAGTGGTAAACGTCTGAGACCGGCATCACTTCGGGCTTTCCTCCCACATTAAGCTGACACGCCGTGATATAACTGGAATACTGTTAAAAGCGGCGTTAAACCAAACTCACTCACTCTTGAGACCTGCCATGCCCAGGTCTCGTTGCAATCCCACTTGTTTGACGTCATCTGGCCCAAGGTCGATAAATTTCACTCTTTGATTTGCCAAACACTCAGGCAACTATGGACTTGGACGTCATCCCCCACCCTCCATTGTACCCACATTTCGCCATTTTGCCTGTTCATTGAGATACTGTCTCGGAGGCATTTTCCCTGTACACGTTTCTGTGTGTTCGTACATCCCGTGCTGCTCGTGCATGATGTGAATTTTCATTGTGATTGGATGTTGCGTTCAGATGCATCGCCAGTGTATTGTAAATATACACCCCACCAACAGCTACATACAATCGTTAGTTCCCTTATTTTTGTAAGCAAACTGCTAAGTGATAAATTAAAACACTTTAAAAGCCTTACCACAGACAGAACTGGCGACGCGTGTCAGCACACATTTCTCATGCTTTGCGCAGATCTGGTTCATACAAGCTCCTGCTATCCTCACCTTGAGCAAACCAAATAAAACGAATACGAGAATGTAGGCATTTAAAAAAAGTACATTATAAGTTGTAGCAGGGTCACTCGGGGTACGAGGGGTTTGGTGCGCCCTGCGTTAGGAGGCGAGTGGCATAAAACCTTACGAAGGTAGCATAAAACCCAATGTACCCCGAGTGATCTTGCTACAACGAATTTATCCTACCGACATGTTTTTATGTGAAACTGTAAAAGAATTAACACAAAATTAAACTTGATAGAAAACAGCTGTTTCGTTGAGCTGGGGTTAGCTCGTGCTGTCACGTGACTTCCGCTGACTGAAAAATGGGTGCGGCTTTCAGCTGTGAAGCGGGGTGGAACGGATATATTCTGTCTCTCAGAAATGCACTTGCAGCCTGCACTGCTTGTGGCGGGGTATAAAACATTTATTCCCACGCTTAGAAATCCATTACCCTCAAAGGCGGGCTACACAGTATTTTATCAAGATCATGTGGACCAATCAGATCTCGTCATTCTGACATGGCGGTATGAGAATGTACCTTGTTTGTTTGTTATAGCATCTTTATATACACTGGAGTCCAATAAATCTGTAATCCCATGACAACTGTGTTAGGTGCATAAACATATATGAATACACAATGGACCTGCATGTTTTTTCCCCATTGTTTCAGGAGATTTGTTGAGAAAGGATCAATTTGACTGGGCAGGTTTTCCTCCAGATCAACTATGTTTCAATATTGTCGTGTAAGTACATTTCCGGAAACTAACGTTCAGCTACCTGTACCCGTATACCTATGCTGATGGTACGAGCTGTAGCAATAATCGTTTCAGTTCCATAGTTAATGCCTGTGTTCTATCGTCATTTCTCGACTGTTTATAACCCAATACATCTCAACATTGCGTGCCAAATAGGCACCGCCTCCGTGGTCTAGTGGTAGAGCGTCCGCCCGGAGAGTTGAAGGTCCGGGGTTCGACCCCCGGCTGCGTCATACCAAAAGACGTTAAAAGATGGTACTTGTTGTTACCCTGTCTGGCGCTCGACATTAAGGGCCTACAACAAAGACTGGTCGGCTCGGAGTCAGTACACTGTGTCTGAGTGGGGTATTCATGTTAAACTGCGGCATGGTATCTCAGTGAGCTAGCACTATAAATTGGCATCAGTCCGGACAAGTGCAAGCCCTGATTAGTTCAAGCAGACACACAAACACGTGTATGCACGTCGCCATATAAGTGCAATAATCTAGGACGCGACGTTAAACCCAATTTCACCTCACCTCACGTATAGGCATTGTATAAATTAGTTTCCAAAGTTCACTGGCCAGAGAGACTTGTTTAAAAAATATCGCAAGCCCTGAAAATATATTACTTGCCCAAAACACTTCGATAAAACACGACATGGAAACAAAATGACAGCAGACTTTGACATTTAATGACGCCCTAACTTTATGATTCGTCCAAATAAATATGTATTGATTACGTTTTCAACTAGATAGTCGGGCCAGCATTACGGAAATGCTACTAGCCCAAATTAAAAGTTACTGGCATTTGGCTTGCGGGCAGGCAGCTATTTCGAACACTGCGTACAGGATGCAACAACAAAGGGACAATAAAGATGTAAAACTGACAAATCAAATCTATGAACAACATTTAAGAATTAGTGAGTGAGTTGGGTTTAACGCCGCTTTAACAGTATCAGTATTCCAGTTATATCGCTGCGTGTCAGCTTAATGTGGGAGGAAAGCCCGAAGTGATGCAGGTTTACCACTTCGGTGAAACCCACGAGCACGGGTATGGTGCTGACAAACCTAGAAACATAATCGGGGTGAACCGGGATTCGAACCCACAATCATAGGTTTGTGGCGTGCCCAAGGGACGCAACTCTGCACAGCGAATCGCGGCGCTTTAAACGACTGGGCCACCCGTGCCCCCATTTAAGAATTAATTGTTATAGGCACCCACCTTTGGCCATCCCTCAATTTTACTGTACATCCGATTGTCAGCAGCGATCAGGTTTTCAGATCTCAGTACATCATCTTCATAATTTAGAGAACAAGATTTTGTCTTCTTATTGAAGTTAAATGATTTGCAAATTCCATATTTGTAGCATTCCGCAGCACATGAGAATACTGAGCTGTGAGGCACTTCGGCAAAGTCTGAATATTGTAGATATTTCCCAGCTTTTATCAACCCATCCGTCCAGCAAGAACATAGACACCCGTTGAAACCAGTGGTCAGACCTAGGATGACCAGCAGAGAGACAAATCCGTCCATGCTACACCCAGACGACATCTTCTTCAGGGCAAGTTGGTGGAGCATTAAGCGTCAAGTTTCAGTGTACATACAAGTCACCATCACCACGTCAACGCTTCCATGGAACCGGGGGGGGGGGGGGGGGGTTGGTGGTGTGTGTGTGTGGGGGGGGGGGGGGGGGGTATAAAGACACATATGGTACGTGTGTCCGAGTATTGAAATTTGAGTGAATTTTGTTGCCTAGATCAAAACTGACTTAGGGCAGTACCCGTATATAATGCAAAATGTCTGCAAAATGTTTTATTGATGGCTAAGCTTTCATTATATATTTACTATTTACATATATCTATCTGATCAATGTACCCTGTTAAAAATATTTTAACATGTTTTAATTCAATAAATCGATAAATGAAACTAATCAGCTTTAACGAAGACATCACCTTGAGGCTGCAAACCAGAGTGATGCACCCACGGAGGCATATGGGCGTATTCAGTAGGTACATTGGCAACTTTAGACAAGTATGACGTGAATCAGTTAGCATGTGCCTACCGTACTTATCCTAGACAAACGTGAAATCGAACTCAAGTTTATTTTCTTCTGATCCTTATCATCACCACCTCACCACCTCACCACCTCACCAGGCTACCACGTCACCACCTCACCACCTCACCACCTCATCAGGCTACCACGTCACCACCTCACCACATCACCACATCACCACCTCACCACCTTACCAGGCTACTTCACCACCTCACCACCTCACCACCTCACCACATCACCACCTCACCACATTACCACCTCACCACATCACCACATCACCACCTCACCACCTCACCAGGCTACCACATCACCACCTCACCACATCACCACCTCACCACCTCACCAGGCTACCACTTCACCACCTCAACACCTCACCACATCACCACCTCACCACATCACCACATCACCACATCACCAGGCTACCACATCACCACCTCACCACCTCACCACCTCACCACCTCATCACCTCATCAGGCTACCACCTCACCACCTCACCACCTCACCACATCACCACCTCACCACCTCACCAGGCTACCACTTCACCACCTCACCACCTCACCACATCACCACCTCACCACCTCACCACCTCACCAGGCTACCACATCACCACCTCACCACCTCACCACCTCACCAGGCTACCACTTCACCACCTCACCACATCACCACATCACCACATCACCACATCACCACCACATCACCACATCACCACCTCACCACCTCACCACATCACCACATCACCACATCACCACATCACCACCTCACCAGGCTACCACTTCACCACCTCACCACCTCACCTAATCACCACCTCACCACATCACCACATCACCACCTCACCACATCACCACAACACCACCTCACCATATCACCACATCACCACATCACCACCTCACCACCTCACCAGGCTACCACTTCACCACCTCACCACCTCACCACATCACCACCTCACCACATCACCACCTCACCACCTCACCACCTCACCAGGCTACCACGTCACCACCTCACCACATCACCACCTCACCAGGCTACCACGTCACCACCTCACCACCTCACCACATCACCACCTCACCACCTCACCAGGCTACCACATCACCACATCACCACATCACCACCTCACCAGGCTACCACATCACCACCTCACCACCTCACCAGGCTACCACCTCACCACGTCACCACATCACCACCTCACCACCTCACCAGGCTACCACGTCACCACATCACCACCTCACCACCTCACCAGGCTACCACGTCACCACCTCACCACCTCACCACCTCACCACCTCACCAGGCTACCACTTCACCACCTCATCGTGTGCTGTCTGACAGAGCCGACAGGTAGCAACTGTCCGATTGACTGTTAGAGGATCAGATGTCAATTCGCAATTTATGCGAAGGTAGTACGGCTGAGTTCATTTTCAAGGCGGTGAATTATTAATTAAGAATCATCTCAAGCTCCTTAAGGAAAACCCAAGAGACTTATATAATACTCACAAGAGACATTGTGGTCCAAACCATTAGAGCGGCGCTGGTAAATTAAGGCTAATTCTTTTTTTGATTCGTAAATTAACCGACTCCTATATGCTCCGTTCCATCTTATTTTCTTATCAACCAATCTACAACTGAGTTTCAGTCGTTCTGCTACATGCTACTCAACATTCGAAGGAGATATTCTTGGAATGCGAGGATAGAATATGACTGACTGCGTTGATAAATTTTAGAATTATGTATGCGATGTGTGCGTGCGCTCGTGCGTGCGTTCGTGTGTATGCTGTACCGCTGCCTCGCAGTACTGGATTGTGGCCTGGACATGGGTTTTATAAGGTATAGACATGTATGACACAGTAGGCTTATATATAAATTATCGTGTTATAGTATAAAAGATGAATTACAAGCCTACCTGGCTGATTACGTAACAACTCGCAAACAATTTGTCTTATTAAATGGAGCATTGTCTGGTACGGAAGAGTTAAAAGCTGGTGTGCCACGGGGCTTGGTACTAGGCCCTTTCTTGTTCCCAAGGAACATCAATGATATTACTGATAAACTGAACTGTTCAACAAGATTTGCCGATGACACATCCCGAGGCATATTATCTAATAACATTGAACATATAGAAACTACTATGAATAGCAATTTAAACAAAATCAATATATGGGCTCAAGACTGGCTAATTCTATATATCGTCCGAGCAAAACAAAATCAATTCTTATTCCAACAAAAGAGCCGCAGAGAATTTTGAAATTATTCTTGGACAATGTAAACATTGAAAATATTAAAACACACAAACACCTGGGTGTTATATTGTCGTCACCAGGGAAGTGGTCATGTTTTATTGATTCAATTATCAAAACTACATGAAAGATTCATTCAATGAGAAAGCTTAAGCTTTTTTGCTCTGTCGTAGTGTGTTGAATAAGATTTATGTAATGTTTATTGGACCACATTTTGAATATGCATGTGAAGTTTGGGACGATTGTACCAAGGAGCAGAGTGACAGATTAGAAAAACTCCAACTGGAAGCAGCAAGAATTGTAACTGGTTTACCAACCTATACTTCCGTCGGAAATGTATGTTTCGAAACTTTCTGGGAGCCCTTATAAGGGCGTAGGAGAAAACGGATATTGTGTTTATTTTATAAAATATATAACAATATGACACCTTCATACCTTGAATATCTAGTACCTCGCTTTGTTAGGACAAACGTAACATACAACCTTATATTAGAACCGCTCACAATATAACTTTGCCTCTATTACGTACTAAGTTATCTGAAGCCTCGTTTATACCATCCGCTATTAAATTGTGGAATACATTACCTATTCAGCAAAGGAATATTAAAACATTCCCTCATTTTAAATCCAGTTTAAGAACAGATAAATCTACACTTCCATGATTTGTCTCATACGGTCCAACGAACATTAACATAATACATTCAAAATTAAGACATGATGACAGTCAATTAAAAAATGACTTATTTAGAAAAGGTTCAAACAAGAATCCAAAATGTCGATGGGGCAGCCTACTTGAAAATTCATATAATCTTTTCATTGAATGTCCTTTATTTAAATCATCTAGAAACGAAATTATGCACTCGCTATTGTTGATTGTGAAAGATACTTATGATGTAAATATGTGAACGAAAGCATTTTTAGGAATGTACATACATATATAAAGAAAACAAAAAGGATTGAGTGAGCAATGTCAATGTACATATGTTTCTCTATTTCTTTTATTTCTTTTCTGTCATTTAATTTCTTAATTGTAAATAAGGATACATGTATATCTATTGAAGAGGGCGTTCTAAGTTGTGACAACTTGTACCCAATCCTTTTCATGAGACTAAAATGTGTTTAAACTAAGATATGACAAGAAGCATAAATTGGACGATGTATTCTCACATTGCGCGAACTGTTTTCTTTGCAAGGTGTCTACATCTCCTCGTTGAACCTTTGTGCATATCAAGATGTGTACATTAAAAGGTGTGTGTATATTAAGGTGGCTACATTACAAGGCGTGTGTATATCAAGATGTGTACATTACAAGGTGTGTGTATATTAAGGTGGCTACATTACAAGGCGTGTGTATACAGTGTATCAAGATGTGTACATTACAAGGTGTGTGTATATTAAGGTGGCTACATTACAATTCGTGTGTATATCAAGATGTGTACATTACAAGGTGTGTGTATATTAAGATGTCTACATTACAAGGCGTGTGTATATTAAGGTGTGTACATTACAAGGTGTGTGTATATTAAGGTGTCTATATTACAAGGCGTGTGTATATTAAGGTGTCTACATTACAAGGTGTGTGTATATTAAGGTGTCTACATTACAAGGCGTGTGTATATCAAGATGTGTACTATACAAGGTGTGTGTATATTAAGGTTTTCTACATTACAAGGTGTGTGTATATCAAGATGTGTACATTACAAGGTGTGTGTATATTAAGGTGGCTACATTACAAGGCGTGTGTATATCAAGATGTGTACATTACAAGGTGTGTGTATATTTAGGTGTCTACATTACAAGGCGTGTGTATATCAAGATGTGTTCATTACAAGGTGTGTGTATATTAAGGTGTCTACATTACAATTCGTGTGTATATCAAGATGTGTACATTACAAGGTGTGTGTATATTAAGGTGTCTACATTACAAGGCGTGTGTATATAAAGGTGTGTACATTACAAGGTGTGTGTATATTTAGGTGTCTAAATTACAAGGTGTGTGTATATCAAGATGTGTACATTACAAGATGCGTGTATATTAAGGTGTCTACATTACAAGGCGTGTGTATATTAAGGTGTCTACATTACAGGGCGTGTGTATATTAAGGTGTCTACATTACAAGGCGTGTGTATATCAAGATGTGTACTATACAAGGTGTGTGTATATTAAGGTGTCTACATTACAAGGCGTGTGTATATCAAGATGTGTACTATACAAGGCGTGTGTATATCAAGATGTGTACTATACAAGGCGTGTGTATATCAAGATGTGTACTATACAAGGTGTGTGTATATTAAGGTGTCTACATTACAAGGTGTGTGTATATTAAGGTGTCTACATTACAAGGTGTGTGTATATTAAGGTGTCTACATTACAAGGCGTGTGTATATCAAGATGTGTACTATACAAGGTGTGTGTATATTAAGGTGTCTACATTACAAGGTGTGTGTATATCAAGATGTGTACATTACAAGGTGTGTGTATATTAAGGTGGTTACATTACAAGGCGTGTGTATATCAAGATGCGTACATTACAAGGTGTGTGTATATTTAGGTGTCTACATTACAAGGCGTGTGTATATCAAGATGTGTTCATTACAAGGTGTGTGTATATTAAGGTGTCTACATTACAAGGCGTGTGTATATCAAGATGTGTACTATACAAGGTGTGTTTATATTAAGGTGTCTACATTACAAGGCGTGTGTATATCAAGATGTGTACTATACAAGGTGTGTGTATATTAAGGTGTCTACATTACAAGGTGTGTGTATATTAAGGTGTCTACATTACAAGGTGTGTGTATATCAAGATGTGTACTATACAAGGCGTGTGTATATTAAGGTGTCTACATTACAAGGTGTGTGTATATTAAGGTGTCTACATTACAAGGTGTGTGTATATTAAGGTGTCTACATTACAAGGTGTATGTATATTAAGGTGTCTACATTACAAGGCGTGTGTATATCAAGATGTGTACTATACAAGGCGTGTGTATATTAAGGTGTCTACATTACAAGGTGTGTGTATATTAAGGTGTCTACATTACAAGGTGTGTGTATATTAAGGTGTCTACATTACAAGGCGTGTGTATATCAAGATGTGTACTATACAAGGTGTGTGTATATTAAGGTGTCTACATTACAAGGTGTGTGTATATTAAGGTGTCTACATACAAGGTGTGTGTATATTAAGGTGTCTACATTACAATGTGTATGTATATTAAGGTGTCTACATTACAAGGCGTGTGTATATCAAGATGTGTACTATACAAGGCGTGTGTATATTAAGGTGTCTACATTACAAGGTGTGTGTATATTAAGGTGTCTACATTACAAGGTGTGTGTAGATTAAGGTGTGTACAATGAACATTACGATGTCTGTTGTAGTCATGCTATTTTTGCTTTATCATGGAAGGCCAGAAACAAAACCCCTAATGGCTCCGATTGCATCAGCTCGGAAAGACAGCCCCCTTGTTTTTACCCCCATCCCGACAACGGGAGGTTGGCCTCTTATGCCCCTGACACGTACCAAGTAGTCTCACGTCTTGTTCTGTCATCTAATAGGTGTGTGTGTGTTTGTGCCCCGTGCGTTAGAACGAGAGCGATAGAAGCGCACATAAAATCTCTGTCAAATGTCTACAGTAACAGTCCAGCAACACCCATTCCTCTTCCGTTGACAGGGGGTCCCCACGGGGCCTTGTGTCGTTGCTTAAATGTTTCTATATCTATAACCTCACAAGAGTATAAGAAATACACTATCCTATATATCCTTGAAAAAAATTAATATATACTAACGGAATCTAGTAACTGTCATATTATAAATTCATTACAATAAGTATAAATTCATTCTGATATTAATAAATGCATCTTTCAGAACATATTTATGAAGACATCTCGATTTTAAGAATTTGCATGTGCATTTTTCAGCTAGCTGGTGCTCATTAAAGCACTTTTGTTAAGCGTAAAAAAAGCTAAGGCATTGCTACAGGTTGTGAAAATCAACGTCTACGGGCAGGGTGTATGCTGCAAAACAGAATGGCGCAAAACGTAGTTGCCAGATATTTTCATGTCCATCGAAACACAATATGATCTCTTTGGAGACGTCATCCACAGTAGGGCAACACTCATCACTTGTCACGGACCAGTCGTCCACGTGTGACGGTACGTCAACAAGACAACAATATTCCTTTGGTGCATTTATAGATACCAAACTGCCACAATAACCGCTCGTACAATTACTGGGTTGAGAGCAAGTAGTGGCAGAACCGTGTGTAAACGGCTGAGGGAGCACGACATCCAGCCCGACGTCCAGCGATACGCCCAGTTTTGCTTCCACATCACCGCCAGGCACGCCAACCTTTGTGAAGACAGCGTCTGAGGTTCAGAAGACAAGACTGGGACAGTACAATTGTTCACAGATTTCCAGGTTTCATCTGGACAGCTCTGAGAATCGTGCAAGGCGTCCAGGAGAACGTTTTAGCGACGCTTGCGTTACCCAACGTCGTCTGTTTGGGGATGGAAGTGTAATGGTAGGGGATGGCATCATAACTCATGGGAGAACACAACTCATCATTGCTAATGTCAATATAAACGGTAACGCTACCGAGACGATATCGTTCGAGATCATGTTCTACCCTTTGTGAAAATGCAGGGACGTAACGTCACGTTGACTTTAGAGGCATCCTAGTATTGCTGTACTGCCATGGCCGGCCGTTTCTGCATACACCTATCGATGGTTTACTTTGCCTGGTTTGTGCCCTGTACACAAGACCGCGTTCCTCAACCTTGATATGAGACATGGAGTTGTGACGTCACCGAGAAATATCACCCTTGATAACTGAGGATGCAGTCCGCGACTTTACCTTGCAAAGACAATTTGTTGTCAAATAATGTCATTAGAATGTCATGGGATTAAATTCTTTATCTCCTTTTAGCCCCTGGGCTTAAATTATGTAATAAATTGCAAGTGATCCAACCCTTGCGGATGTTTCGGAACACGTAGACTGGGACAGTATGACATGGCTAACACTTGAGACTGTTAGCGCTGTCAGAGGCCTCATTGGTCCCCTCAATTGTAGTTCATGACGTTTTGATGTTTAAGTTACACATTATTGCTTCATTGTCCCTTTGAATTTGAAAAGAGTTAAATATTGAGTTGATTAATTAAATTAAATGGAGTCTCCAATAGCGTTTGCATATTTTCCTGAAATACTTGCCAGCCCTGACCAAAACCTGCCTGCCCACTATAATCATATGTTTCTCAGGATAAGCTAACGGGATTTCTTTTTGGTTACATTTTATCATTCATCTTTACATGTGAATTAATGATTATCATCGGGAAATATTTAGAATATTGTCACATATGAAATATAACCCGACCGTCGGGCAGGGGGATTTGAAAATCTGGCAGCCCGAGTTGAAATCAACCCGTCTCGGACGGTCGGGCAGGCAGGTATTTCGAACACTGTTAATTTGCATGAAATGTTCGGCCCTGGTGATAATTCCCGTTATTTCGCAATGGGTCATCTTCCTGAAGCAAGGGAGTTAACTGACTTTAAATCCAGTTTCTACACTTGTTGAACTAGGCTGGAATTATGGAGTTATATTTTGGCTAGTCCAATCAAAATCGCGTAACGAAATCGACATCCGGTTTATAAACAACATGGCGACTGCCGTGCATATTTCGGTGGATTGCAGGATTTTTGGAGCATGTGTTCCGTCAACTGGGCGTCGACAGATATTTTCCAAATCTTTTCATGTTTTTAATCAAGATGCTGAAGTGATTTGATGCACTTCGCGAGGTATTACAATGTAGATCTTGATTATCGATCAGATCGTCTTGACTGGGCGCCGCCATTTTGTTTGAGGCAAATGCAAGTGTTATAAGAGGTGGAATCGGATAGGTCAATAGGCAGGACAAAGAAGGGACATAACTCGTAATAGCTTTTGGTGGTCCTACAATCGATCCAAGAAATTCCAGCCAAGTTCGGCAAGGGTTGAAACTTGACATCTACAGGCAGTTCTCTCCCTTGCCTTAAGACGTTAAAAGATGGTACTTGTTGTTACCCTGTCTGGCATTCGTCATTATGGGGCTAAAACAAGGACTGGTCGGCTCGGAGTCAGTATACTGTATCTGAGTGGGGTATTGACGTTAAACTGCGGCATGGTATCTCAATAGGCTAGCACTATAAAATTGGCATTAGTCTGAACTAAGAACAAGCACACACACACACACACATACACGCACACACAAACACTTGCATGCACGTCGCTCTATGAGTTCAATGATCTTGAACGTCACGTTTAACCCCATATCATCTCACCTCATCTTTATATATATTAATAAAACGTGTTCTCAATCAGCAAATTATACTTCTTTGTATGTCAAAGTTAAAAATAGCCAGTGTGTTGATGCAGTTTTTCACTCTCTCTCCCTATATATATATATATACATATATACACAGCTTGTATTCGACAGTCGTTACCGCCACTTCAACAAAGACAGAGGCTGTGGCTTAGAAATTTCTTGGTAGATGAAACGATAAAAATACCAAAAAAATACCGTTACCAGTTAACTAACCTGTATTCCCAATAGGAACTTAGTAATGCCCTTGGTATATATGTACCAAGCAGAAATTGTCCAGTCTAACAAGGTTACTCTTTATACAGTCCCAAGCTTCACACATCCCTCGACGCCAGCCAGTCACGCAATGCTCGCTAGTGGACCGAGAACAATGGTTATTGTGATGCAGGCACTTGACATCCACTATTTCAGGACAGATATGAGTTGATAATTAATACCACCACGATACCATTTGCCATCAAAGTACAAAGCAAACGTGAGTTATTTTCATATAAAACATTTATTGTGGGTTTGTTCTATATGTGGCTATTTACAAAATCACCCTTCAAGTGCAGTGTATATACTCTGATCACTCCAGTCGATGTCCAGGATCACTAAATCGATACTTGCGGGCGGGGATGCATTCTAGCTATTTCCCGTCCAGGAAAAAATGTCCGCGTAATGACGGACGGAGCTTTATTCAATATTTGGCACAGCAATTCGTGGCCTAGATACAGAGCTTCGACATAAGTTGCTGTTAATAATGTAACATTGTTCGTTTAACGCTTTCGTAACCTCGTGACCTCCTTATCACGATTGATGTGTGTACACTCTGCAAGGTGTGGCTAAGGCTAATGTACGTGTCGACGTGTTTTAAGCACTTTCTTAAAGTATCTGAAAAGTATATGGCGAAGACGTGTTCTATAAACCCTAGAATTGTTCGAGAAGTAAATTATACTAATTTAATAAACAACAGAAATTAGGTGCAAGCATTTCCAAATTAATCTACAGCAACTTAAAATTATTTAGTCAGACTGCGAATGTGTTTACATATCTTTTAAATGCATTGAAAACACAATGTATCTAAGTACTGTTCTGAATGACCAGAAAGATGCTTGTAAATGCCATTATTTTGAAAAAAACGAATGTAGAGCATAGATTCAATGTACAAACAACGGATATGTCGAACATGGTATCCAGCCGAAGAGGTAGCAATCACACAACTGACACCAGAATTATGAAGACAGTTTCTTGTGTCGTGTCATGAATATTTAAAGCAATATCTTCAAATATGAGTTGACTGGAGAGGTTATAGTTTCTATCACGTAACACCAGGCTGTCATCGAGTCCTCCACTGTCCCCCCGCACAATGTCTAACATCAGGAACTATTCATTTTGTGTCGTCATTAACGTCATTCATGAGCGTGACTCAATCGTGTTGTATCACAGATCATTATATCCCGTCCGCTTACATAGTTTTCTTATCCCTACTGTATATCATAGGGTATATCCTGTCCCCACTGTGTCAGTTTACAGATTTACCCTTTCCCTAATGTATATCGCAGATATATCCTATCCCAACTGTATAATATCACAGATCTATCCTATCCCAACTGTGTAATATCACATATATATCCTATCCCTATTTGTAATATCACAGATATATCCTATCCCAACTGTGTAACATCACAGATATATCCTATCCCTATTTGTAATATCACAGATATATCCTATCCCAACTGTGTAACATCACAGATATATCCTATCCCTATTTGTAATATCACAGATATATCCTATCCCAACTGTGTAACATCACAGATATATAAAATCCCAACTGTGTATATATCCTATCCCCACTGTGTAATACCACAGATATATACTCACCGATAAAAGTAACGCGAATACCATACATGTTGGTTAATATATGGTGAATTACTCGTATTCATGAGATATTATATTGGTTCGATGCACAAACAAACTCACTGGTATGTTGTGTGAACCGACGCTCCTGAACACATCACATGTGACGTCATAGATCCAAGACTCGAGATGCATCATTTGCCTCATGCAGGATCACGTGCAGCGTATCGTGATGAGAATAAAGACACTTGGCTGATTGTTAGTTTTGTCATCAAGTGGTACACATGGGAAAACATCTCTTCTAAAGTACATACTTCTCTATGTTTCAATGGTTCGCGTTTCTTTTGGTGGTAAGTATATTCTGTCCTCAATTCGTCATAAAACATATATCCTATCCCCAATGTGTAATATCAAAGGTAAATCCCGTTCAAACTATAATATCACAGATGTATCCTATCCCCACTGTTTAATATCACAGATATGTCTTATCCTTACCGTGTCATTTCACATACATATTTCCTATTCCCGTTGTAACAAAGTAAAACTGTGCTGTGTTACATCGCATATGCCCAACGATATTAACAGTGACGGTCGTTCAAGTCATTGTAGTGTCACCAGTAGTTACGTCAGAGTAGCGTCACAACAGTCCAGTAATGACGTCACTACGACGTCATGATAACAGAGACGACTTTATCGTATTGTCATAGTTCATAGCTCATTCAGCTAGAATAACTAGCTGATGACGTCATGGAAGACTATGAGTTGGTCAGTAATATCTTGAGGTGTGACAGTTTTTCTCTCTCTGTCTCTCTGGTGGGTTCTTGGTCCAGAAGAGGAGGCGTGCTGGTGGGCTGCCGTCGTCGGATGACAACACGGTTTCCGGGTCGGGGTTGTATGTCCATATCCTGCAACAGAGGAACGCAACTGTCAGCTACTTGACACAAGTAGGAAATTGTATCACAAGGTAATATCACCATCCTTTACACATATATCTGTCAGTAACGGTACACCTATATCTGTTAGAAACCTCTTCACATATATCTGTCAGTAACGGTACACCTATATCTGTTAGAAACCCCTTCACATATACTGTCAGTAACGGTACACCTATATCTGTTAGAAACCTCTTCACATATATCTGTCAGTAACGGTACACCTATATCTGTTAGAAACCCCTTCACATATATCTGTCAGTAACGGTACACCTATATCTGTTAGAAACCTCTTCACAATTTTCGGTCTTTAACGGTACACCTATATCTGTTAGAAACCTCTTCACACATATCTGTCAGTAACGGTACACCTATATCTGTTAGAAACCCCTTCACATATATCTGTCAGTAACGGTACACCTATATCTGTTAGAAACCTCTTCACAATTTTCGGTCTTTAACGGTACACCTATATCTGTTAGAAACCCCTTCACATATATCTGTCAGTAACGGTACACCTATATCTGTTAGAAACCCCTTCACATATATCTGTCAGTAACGGTACACCTATATCTGTTAGAAACCCTTCACATATATCGGTCAGTAACGGTACACCTATATCTGTTAGAAACCTTCACTTATATCTCTCAGTATCGGTACACCTATATCTGTTAGAAACCCCTTCACATATATCTGTCAGCAACTTCACACCTACAACTCTCAGTAACTTTTGACCTCCATCTGTCAACGACTTTACACCTAGAACTGCCAGCAACTTTACACATATATATGCTCCTGGGACTGGACTGTGAACAGCAACCAACAACATCAAGACCATTGCTAGAACCCGATACCAATGTGTCTCTCATTTACACTGCAAAGACCTGAGCTCCAGATAACATTTTGAACATTTGAGCTTTTACTCTAGGGTTTCTATTTTAATCGGGTTATTACACTTTTCTTTGGGTAACCAATATTTTGTCACTCATCTGGTCATCACTCCATTGTGTTTTTCCCAAATTTAGTGAACATTTTTAGATTTAAAACAAATTAAATAATGTTTTTTATGTATATAACTGTTCTATATATATAGGCTTGACTCGGAAAGTAAATTAGCTCGTACTTGTGTTTCGGAAATTTGCTCCTTTGTATGCATGCTGGTAAAGCTTCATTGGGTATTTGCGCGTGCTGTTTTTATACATTTGAGTTTTTTCATTTAATACATGCGTTTCTGTACGCAAGTTAATTGAAAGTAATTGGGTTTTGAATATTTTGGGGAGGTATTTTACGCAAATACGCTGCTTATCTGTAGCTCTGTAAAGACGGCAGGTTTCCATACAGTGACGTCATGAAACAATGGATGCTGTCACCGACTTCCATGACAACTAAAGTCCCCTGGGTCAGGGTTGCATGTTCTATTTTCTCCCATTCATCCGACGAAATAGGAAATTGTGTTAGGCAAGGCAATATCACGACCCTCAATGTATTCCTGCAGTGGGCATTCATGTGACCAGATACAACCATTTTGAACGTAACTTTACCCGCCCCAAAGCATGTTGGGATATAAGTTTAAATATTATGTCAGAAAGTGTATGCTCAAAAACTGAATTTGAATGACAGTTTTAGTAATTTCCTGTACTAGTAATGGGGTTAACCCGTTCGGTCGTCACGTCGAAGGCCCGGGTTCTATTCCCCAGATAGGTACAATTTAAAACAAATTTCTGGTGTCCCCCGACGTGATGGTTTTGCTGGAGCAGTCCTTACACACCCACTCGCTCACTCGCCCACTCACTCACACACCAACCAACCAACCAACCAGCCTACCAACCAATCAACCTATCCTACCTGTAGCGCAAGTCTTCTCAGTTGAGCAACCTTGGACCTGGATTTGGGGTTTTCTCTCTTCAGCCAAAGTCTGATTCTCTCTTCTAAGTTTGTCAAGGCGGCGTCGTGAGACTCCTGGTCTATCGTCACCCCCATTGACAACGGCTCAGCATCATCATCAACATAGTAGTCCATGTCGCCCATATAGTCATCATTGGACTCCTGGTCCTTCTGATGGGAACTCTGAATACTCTTGAAGCTTCTCGGCCCATCTCGGCCATGTCCGTCCACTTCATCCCGGGCGTTCTGAGCCGCCAACAGCATGCTCTGGGGTAGTTGTACTGCATGAACATGACTTGGTGGTATTTGATCCACCTTCCGGTGCCTCTTCAATCTCAGCTTCTCTTTCGTCTTCTCCCGCACGCGAATCATATAAAACACACTGCCCGGTCCGAACATGTCTATCAAAGGTCCTCGATGGTTCAGAAATTCTTTTTCAGCTGCAGAAACTGTAGTCATTTCACGTCTGTCTTTTTCTACAGGGGGTGGGGGTTTATAGCGGCTTAGAATCCTACTATGTAGGTACCCGAGTAGAGGAATATCCTCTTTCTGAGTCAGGAGAGATATGCGTGTTTCTAGTTTGACGGCGAGCTCGTCTCTCATAGACTCTATAGTCCTCTGATGCCTCCTAACGAACAGCCTCTCATAATGCTTCATTTCCAGGACCAGTACCTCCGTCCTCTCCTTGCACACCGCCGTATGCATGTACGTCTTCAGCTCCAGCAGCATCTCGATGTCCCCTGCAACAGAGATGGGATATTATCCATGTGTACTATGCTCCCCTCGGCTGCAGATAAGTGGGAGAAACCTTAATTAGGCTTTTTAAGGAGCAGTCGGAAAGTTCCTTATTTCACAAATGTAATTGTCAACCCCATAACTACACCACCGTCAACCCCGGCACTACATCACCGTCAACGCCAGTACTACATCACCGTCAACCCCAGTACTACACCACCGTCAACCCCAGCACTACACCACCGTCAACCCCGGCACTACACCACCGTCATCCCCAGCACTACACCACCGTCAACCCCGGCACTACACCACCGTCAGTCCCGACACTAGACCTCCGTCAGACCCAGTATTACACCACCATCAACCCCGGCACTACACCACCGTCAACCTCAGTACTACACCACCATCATCCCCAGCACTACACCACCGTCAACCCCGGTACAACATCACCGTCATCCCCAGCACTACACCACCGTCAACCCCGGCACTACACCGTCGCCAACCCCGGCACTACACCGCCGCCAACCCAGGCTCTACACCACCGTCAAACCCGGCACTACACCACCGCCAACCCAGGCTCTACACCACCGCCAACCCCGGTACTGCACCACTGTCAACCCCAGTACTACACCACCGTCAACCTCAGTACTACACCACCGTCAAACCCGGCACCACACCACCGTCAATCCCAGTACTACACCACTGCCAACCCCGGCACTACATCACCGCCAACCCCGGCTCTACACCACCGTCATCCCCGGCACTACACCACCGCCAACCCCGGCTCTACATCACCGCCAACCCCGGCTCTACACCACCGTCAAACCCGGCACTACACCGCCGCCAACCCCGGCACTACACCACCGCCAACCCCGGCACTACACCACCGTCAACCTCAGTACTACACCACTGTCAACCCCGGCACTACACCACCGTCATCCCCAGCACTACACCACCGCCAACCCCGGCACTACACCACCGTCAACCCCGGCACTACACCAACGTCAAAACCAGTACTACACCACCGTCAACCCCGGCACTACACCACCGTCAAACCCAGTATTACACCACCATCAACCCCGGTACTACATCACCGTCAAACCCAGTATTACACCACCATCAACCCCGGTACTACATCACCGTCAAACCCAGTATTACACCACCATCAACCCCGGCACTACACCACCATCAACCCCGGTACTACATCACCGTCAACCCCGGTACTACACCACCATCAACCCCGGTACTACATCACCGTCAAACCCGGCACCACACCACCGCCAAACCCGGCACCACACCACCGCCAAACCCGGCACTACATCACCGCCAACCCCGGCACTACACCGCCGCCAACCCCGGCACTACACCGCCGCCAACTCCGGCACTATACCGCCGCCAACTCCGGCACTACAACGCCGCCAACCCCGGCTCTACACCACCGTCATCCCCGGCACTACACCGCCGTCAACTCCGGCACTACACTCCATCAACCCCGGCACTACACCACCGCCACCATCGCCAACCCCGGCACAACACCGCCGCCAATCCCGGTACTACATGTACATCACTGTCAACCTTAGAACTACACCACCGTCAACCCCACTTCACCACTGCATATGCCAGTACTACCGAAGTACTACATGCAACCGAAGGACTACTTTTCTTTCAACCCCTATATATTAACCAAAAGTTCAACGGCCGAGAACCTATCAAGATTAACCTTGAACTGGTTTAGCTGAAACTACATGAATCTATAAAAGGTATGTCAAAAGCTATCACTCCAACCCTCGAATTAGGATTCATAGATTCTTCAGACACACCAACGGTTGAGGAGAACAATTATCTGGAGAAATACACCTCCGTCTATTTAGGTCAAATGAAAAAGATAACGTTAACAAAAGAAGTTGACATGGGATGACCCTCGAAGCACAACCAACAATACAAAAGCAGGCTAGACAGCAGATCGATACTTCAGTACACCGTTCCCTTAACACACACCTCCCCTTGGTAACCAAAGCTTCAATACCACAGCGTCCCCAGCTTAAAGAATCAACCCCTCGTAAACATCAGGTAGCAGATATTATACCCCTATGCAAACACAATGCAATTAATTTCTACAGATATATTGTACACTGACTACTACAAATGTTTAACACTACCGTTTAAACGTCCCAGTGGGGTGAGAAAAAGGGGACGTATTTGATTTTCGATTTTATACGCCCGTAAATATGTGCCTTTTAATATCCCTTGGTCCGGAACGTCAATACTGTTGACAGTCTTAAGAGAAATAAGCAGTTGTAATATTTCCCAATAAATGTATTATTTGGACAGGCTTTGTTTCTATTTGCAGACTGTCGGTGTTGTTGAAGTTATTGGTGTAGTTGCAGGCAGGTTTAAGGAGCTTGAATTAAGAAGATGAGTACCAGTAAAAGACAAACTGAAGTGGTGTCGACTGGTGTCACATGCACTTTTATTATAAAAACAATTACATTGTGGGGTGGACGTCGCAAGAGGTAACACTGAACCGGAGTTAGAAATTATGTACAAGTTGTTATCCTTAAAAGTTCATGTCATGTTAGGCTACTTTTATGAAATTATAGTTGTGTGCGTTGATACACATGTGTTGTCATGGTTACCACGTGTATCGCAAGTTTCTGCGTTCATACAGTTTGGCCTCACTCTCAGAGTGAGTGAGTGTGTGAGTTGGGTTTAACGCCGCTTTTAACAGTATTCCAGTCATATCACGGCGTGTCAGCTTAATGTGGGAGGAAAGCCCGAAGTGATGCAGGTCTCAGACGTTTACCACTTCGGTGAAACCCACGAGCACGGGTATGGTGCTGTAAAACCTAGAAACATAATCGGGGCGAACCGGGATTCGAACCCACAATCATAGGTTTCTGGCGTGCCCAAGGGACGCAACTCTGCACAGCGTATCGCGGCGCCTTAGACGACTGGGCCACCCGTGCCCCCTCACTCTCAGAAGGTTCATACTCAAGTGAACTCAAACAAAGTGAAAGTCAATTCTTAAATGGAATAGATTGCAAATAAAGCAGAATACCTAAATTACGGTGAACTGATTGGAAAATGACAATGACTTAAAATAAAAAACCGTGCATTTAGTTTATCTTTGACGAATACATATTTACCACTGACTAGCCAAGGCATATTGAAAGGGGCGAAGCATAGACGTTTTAGTAATTATAATAACCAGTTTAATTGCTACGTCATTCTACATAGTATTCACAGTGAGTAGATATAATCCCTTAGATCACTACTGTTGCTTACACTTGTTCGTTCATACGTGTATTTCACTGGGATGGATTGTGTCGAATATATTTTAACATGGAGCTTGTACTTACTTTGAGGTTACAGTTTCAGGTGACGAAAGGTAGACACGAATAAACAGGCTACTTATGAATAGTCTACATACTAATAGTGTACTTATAAACTGTCTACTTATTGACGATTTGCCCACTTTTATAATTGGACTCATAAGCGTCATTTCTGTAGCAACCTAAACCTAAACAGTACACAAAGTCAAAGATCTTCGCGAAGGGCTTATGATTATAATTTAAATAAATTATGTGTATGTCCTCACTGCTTAATTAATATGTTCTTTATTCATGACGAATGTAGGCCTCCTGTTTATACAGGTGGTCAGTCAGCATATAATATTTATCATCCAAAACTGGCTCCCACAGGAGATATCGCTTGGATGAGATCAAGCAATATCTACACTGTAGATATCGCTGCAATGAAATTACATCACAATGCTTTGCAGACCATTGTGACATCACTGGTTACCATGACGTCACAATCAAACAACATCACTAATGGCTCTGCTACTGATGCTGTTAGCAGTACTTTTTACACTGAAGACACTGCTAATTAATGTCTCCAAATTGAAAAAGTTAGAAGAATGATGTTTGGATGATAAATAAAATCTCACCCTCGTGTCTTTTGAAATCAAATATATCAACACTCGTTGATAAAAGTGGCAAAAATCCTCGGCAAGCCTCGTGAATTTTCCCACTTTTATCAACTCGTGTTGATATATTTGATATCAAAAGACACTCGGGTGAGATTCTCTATATGTAACAATAGAAATAATCAACATGTATCTTTCTAAAGCAACTTGCATAATAGATAAACATAGCCATGTGTCTATCTACATTCGTTACCGTTGACAACAGTATATTGTATTTGTATTAGTTACGGGTAAGGTGTGGTATAAATGTAGTAGGGATGTACTTCTCACGCAGTGTTTAATACCGGACACAAACCATCACAAAATGGTATTCATCTTCGACGTAACCTTTCTTACAAAATGTGCACAGCCTTTTATCTCTAGGGATATTGAAATACCTGCCAGTTCCTGTTTTGAGACCATTGGAACCGCAACGAAATTGTGCCATGGTCACACGTAATTTTACAATTGTTATATGTTTAAGGTATAATTCTGTTCCAAATGCACCTTGAAAAAAAGTATAATTAATTGATTTAGAATTGCTAGCATTTGTACATTTGGAACAGAATTCCACACTGTTAAAAGCACAATTGATTATTCTATACCTGTATTACAGCGGTCAGTGCTGTGTTTAGTCCAAGTGTTAATGCTTAGACACCTACCTACACTCTCGTTGATACCGAGGTAGCAGAGCTTCATGCTTTTGAAGTTGTCCCTCTTCTTTATGTTGTTGCTGTTGTGGTGTTCGGTCGGGGGACGTGCTTTCTCCGCCTTTTTTAACAATCTTTGCAGAGAAATGACTTTGTTACACTCTGTTTATTGCTACAATCGTGAACATAAACGCGTATTGGCATATTGACCCAGTTCTCGAAACGCTACCTTCACAGAAACTGGTCGACCTAGTTACATATTTTAGTGTGGTATGGTTAGCGTCACACTGTATTATTGTATTGTAAACAGACACACGCACAGACTTACATAAATATATAAGCTCACTCTGTCACTCACACACACATAAACGAACATACGCTGTCTCTCTCTCTCTCTCTCTCTCTCTCTCTCTCTCTCTCTCTCCCTCCCCCCTCTCTCTCTCACTAACACTTACACTAACACACACACGCACTCACTCACCGACCTACGCACACTCATACACTCACTGACTCACTCACACCATCACCCAAACCCTCGATCGTGTGTACCCACACGGACACACCTATGCTCACTACGCTTACACACAAATACTTACGTATACTTACCAGTACACTACAACACTGCAAAAGTTATGGCCTAGTCCCTACATTCACATACATGCCGTTTTTACAAATCATTCTTCTTGATGTGGATGGGTTTGGTTTCCCCTACAACACCACCCCATTCACATACGGATATAAGGAGACACTTAATATCAGACTGACTTGTCCAACTACAGTGGGGCCAGGGATGGCCTGTCGTTTTGGGCGTCTCATTTCCCACCCTTACGCGTGCCAGAAACCTGTGATCATGGGTTCGAATTCCAGATTCAAACTGGTCATATTTCTTGGTTTGTCTGCACCACATTTTGATCTAGAGTATCTCCAACGAGTACATGTCCTTGATCACCTGTGGCTTCCTCTGACATCAATCTGACACACCGTGATGTAACGGAACTAATGTTCAAAGCAGCGTTGAACCAAACTTTCACAATCAGTGTTCTTGTAGTGTTCTTGTATACCTCAACGTGTACAGGAATGCCATCTGTATGCGAGAACGTGATAACGCAGGTGAAAGGACGAGTCTGTCACCAGAATCAAGAGTGAGTGAGTATGGTTCTACGATGCTGTTAGGAATATTCCAGCAATATAACGGCGGGGGACACCTCAAATGGGCTTCACACATTGTACCCATGTCGGAATCGAACCCGGGTCTTCGGCGTGACGAACGAACGCCTTAACCACTAGGCTACCCGACCGCCCCACCAGAATCAAGAACCAGACCAAAAAGCAATTACATGTACCACGGAAACTGGAGACATGTAGGTTTGATTGTGTGTTGTTTAACGTCGAGTGCAGCACTGTTTCAGCTACATGACACATTGGACAAGGGAACCAGTGGCGTATGTCATGGCCAACGTCATACATCGTCAAAGTTGTGACACACAGTCCGGGTTGCCATCCGAGCCACTGTATGGATCTTACGACCTGCCTGACCTATTATGACTCCAAAGCCCAACAGGGCGAAACCTTGAGATGTAATTTGCTAGAGCCGGTAAAAGAGAGTGAGTGAGTTTGGTCTAACGGCACAATCCGAAGTGATGCACTTCACAACGTTAGTTAAACCCACGAACACATCCGACGTCAGTAAAACATACGAACACACGCATGGTTTGTTTGTTTGTTCGTCGTTTAACGTCACACTCAGCAATGTCCCAGCTATATGACAAAACAAGAAACACAATTAGTTGAATCTGGTGTCAGATGCAGGTGTCAGACGTTTACCACTTCGGTGAAACCCACGAACACGGGCATGGTGCTGACAAACCTAGAATCATAATCGGGGCGAACCGGGATTCGAACCTACAATCATAGGTTCCTGGCGTGTCCAAGGGACGCAACTCTGTACAGCGAATCGCGCTGTAGACGACTGGACCACCCGTGCTCACACGCTTTCATAAATACACTTAATATCTTCTATATAAATGAAGAAGGCATATTTCCATTAGTTTTGTTGGTATATAATTTTTATAGCTTACTTGGCAGTTTCTGTTTGACTGGCAGCCAAGAATATCTTCCGGTACTGCAGCGGGTGCTGTGAGGGGTCAATCTGGACCTCCACTTGGCCACTGCAAGGAGAGACACATGGCGTATGTGACATTACACATGAAGAATGTGTGTTGATTAACGCCGCACTGAGCAACATTCCATGTACATGACGGCGGTCTGCGTAAATAATCGAGTCTGGACCAGACAATCCAGTGATTAACATCATTAGCATTTGGGATACGATGACATGCATCAACAAGGGCGGATCCAATATTTTTTAAAAGGGAAGGGTCCAAAATCTAAAAACCCTCTCTTATTGGGAGTGGGTGTTGGGGGTGGGTTGTCTTCAGCATACCACATGTGGAGGGATGGGGAGGGAGGTTCCGCCTATGACAAGCATGGGTTGTTGAGGAATATTCCTACCCGGAATCCCAATGCGTCTAACACGAAGTACAATATGACGAACAGAACTTTACATTTCAATTTTCACTACGATTATTTCAAAATGTCATTTTTGCATACAACGTGTCATACGCATATGGATTGAAACAGACACAGGCATTAGGTTCCCAGTCTTCATACCGTTTCAAATTAGCCTTACGTTTTAATTATTCAGACCCAGGAACGAACTTCTACTATCTTCCCGTGGGAGATATATCGCTATTCAATGGTATGTTTTGACAGGAAGTGGTGGTGATCAGTGTGGTAAATCTGTTGGAATGGGTTGTATTTCACAACACATCACACACCAGCAAGGTGGGGGCACTCTTAGTGTTACTGTATTCACTGATAATGTGAATTCAGTTCGCTATCACATGCCTCGCACATAGGCACATCAGCATGATTCCTAATTCTCCCATAACGTACCCAACTCGCTCTAACCCGAGAAATACCAACATGTTCTCACTTCCTTCTCAGCTAAGATTGAAGTACATGTTCTCTGTTCCTGTTCTCACCTGAGAATGAAGTACATGTTCTCTGTTCCTGCTCTCACCTTAGAATGAAGTACATGTCTGTTCCTGCTCTCACCTGGGAATGAAGTACATGTTCTCTGTTCCTGTTCTCACCTGAGAATGAAGTACATGTTCTCTGTTCCTGTTCTCACCTGGGAATGAAGTACATGTTCTCTGTTCCTGTTCTCACCTGAGAATGAAGTACATGTTCTCTGTTCCTGCTCTTACCTGAGAATGAAGTACATGTTCTCTGTCCCCTCTCACCTGAGAATGAAGTACATGTCTGTTCCTGCACTCACCTAAGATTGAAGTACATGTTATCTGTTCCTGCTCTCACCTGAGAATGAAGTACATGTTCTCTGTGTTCTCGCCCTGTCGCACCAAAGGGGCCTCATACGAGTAGGTCTCCATGTACATGGCCATGGCCAACTGCTTGCGGTACTTGGGAGGCCAGGACGAGAACAGCTTGTTGCCGGCGATGAAGCGTTCCTTGTCCCTGAACTCCTTGGCCAGTACATCCCTGACTGACCGGTTGTACAGCTGTCTGTCCACCACCACAAGGTCCGTCCGCTCGTCCGATATCACGGAGGCTGTCCTGATACAGTCATCTGACGCCAGGGCCACCTCGCCGAACGGGCTACCAGCACCTACAAGATTCCAGACGTTTTGTTTGTTTGTTTGTTTGTTGTTTAACGTCGCACTCAGCAATAATCCAGCTGTATGGCGGTTCGTAAATTATCAAGTCTGGACCAGACAATCCAGTGATTGATATCATGAGCATCGATCCACGCAATTGGGATACGATGACATGCATCAACCAAAAAGGCATACTCTCATCCCCTTGTAAAAGATTAGTAAAAGTAGGTGTAACATACGATCATTAGAGAATCAAAGAAATATCGTTTAATACGAGAAGACACTAATGACTAAGAAGACTGGGGCAAAAGCGATAACTGGCCTCATATAGCCGGGGTGTGGGCGACATCAGTGAATTACAAAACAGGGATTATTCGTGGAATCAAAATTTGATATAACACTTCCCCACTGCTCTACTCACCGTCAAATTCGTAGTTGTCTCCCTTACCCGTGTCAGCAACCGTTGGTGATGAGTTCGAATCCCAGATTCACCTCAAATATGAGCCTTGGTAACGGCAACACTGAACCACTGCTCCTGTTTTTCATTCAGGAATTAAACCACAAGTACCTGCGTATCTTTGTTCTTTCCTCCAACATAAAGCTACAACGCAGGGATGTAATTTAAATACTTCCGGTACGACGCTGAACTCCTCACTCACCCAGATGTGTGACGAAGTATCCCAGCTTGCCCCTGTCCAGTTTGCCGTCCTTGCCCTTCCGGTAGATGATGTCCAGTTCGGACTCATCCTCTCCGTCCTTGTCCTTGTTGAGGATGTAGATGGAGATCTGGCCGCCCAGGATGATGTAGAAACTGGAACCAGGTGACAGTTCATCTACAGGTTGGTTTGTTTGTTTGTTTGTTTTTTGTTTAACGCCGCACTCAGCAAAATGCCAGTTATATGACGTAGTCTGTTAATAATCGAGTCTTGACCGTGCCTTATGAATCAACCTTATTCATATGCAGGGTGTTTGATGACCACAGCCTATAAGACGTATTCATATGTATTGTGTTAGATGACCAGTAAGACGTATTCATATGTATTGTGTTAGATTACCAGTATGATATATGTATTGAGTTTGGTGACCTACAGCCTTTTCGATGTATGCATGTACATGGTGTTAATTCTAGCGAGTGTTTCAAGATGGTTTGGGGTTAATGTGCATAGGTTTCAAAGACATATCGGAGATGTATTGTTCAAAACGTGCTCCCACAAGAGATACCAAGTGTCTGAGATCACATCCCAGGAGAGCACCCTGGAGAGTCCCCAGAATAACGTAATACATGATCTTTGTTTATGATTGCTCAAAACAACTTAGAAAGCTTTCAATCAGTGTTTTGAATATTTTGGTCAGTGCAGGTCTATGGTAAAATACCTACACCACGACCCACCCAGAGAACGAAAGGAAGGAAAGCATACTGTAACAATGCACCGACAGTGACAGTCAGTAGTATTTCACATACCATGTAGCTGATAGCTAAATTCCGAGATGATAATTGATAATTCGATGATAACTCTTCAGATTTCAAAAAGCGTCCCGCACTCGTGCTTGTGGGTTTCACCAAAGTGGTGCACATCTAAGTGAGTGAGTGAGGTGGGTTTAACGCCGCTTTTAACAGTATTCTAGTTACATTACGGCGTGTCAGTTTAATGTGGGAGGAAAGCCCGAAGTGTCGCAGGTCTCAGACGTTTACCACTTCGGTGAAACCGACGAGCACGGGTATGGTGCGGACAAACCTAACGACATAATCGGGACGAACCGGTATTCGAACACACAATCATAGGTTTCTGTCGTGCCCAAGGGACGCAGCTCTGCACAGCGAATCGCGGCGCCTTAGACGACTGGGCCACCCATGCTCCCGACACATCTAAGACTTGCATCATCACTTTGGTCTTTCCTTCCACGGTAAGCTGACAGCGTTAAACCAAACTCACTCACTCACTCACTCTGTGCTCATCCATAAACAGTTGCTATCTCACCACTCTCCCTTGTCTCCCTGCTTGATGATGACGTCATCTCGGACCTTGGTGACGAACTGACAGTTTCTGACGATGTCCATCACAATATCTGAAACAAGGTCAATACACACTGTAATCCCTGTATTTATGACGCAGGCCAATATACACACGTTATTCCTTCTCTCTCTCTCTCTCACACACACACAGAGAGAGAGAGAGAGAGAGAGAGAGAGAGAGAGAGTACACACAGTACTTGTTGTTACCCTGCCTGGCGCTCAGCATTAAGGGGATAAAACAGGGACTGGTCGACTACAACTGTGTCTGAGAGGGGTGTCAAACTGCGGCATGGAGTCTCAATGGGACACGGACACACACACACACACACACACACACACACACACACACACACACACACACACACAGACACACACACACACACACACACACACACACACACACACACACACACACACACACACACACAAACACACACACACAAACACACACACACACACACACACAGAGGATTACCTCGAGGGCAGCACCTCCAGCTGCCTGGAGAGTTGTATACAGCCACTCTGAAAGTTCATCAAACCGTATTCCCCGAGTTACCCTCCGCCATGTTTTAATATTTTCCACAATTTGAAAACAAACCGATGCGATGTGTTTGTCCTCATTTTTAAAGGTTACAGGACTACAACTGGTTTACGTTAAGCCTCTGCGCTTCATGTGCATCTAAAGCCAATGCGTTTAAATGTTACAGTCAATGTGAACAATTATATAAATCGACTTAAATTTGACAGATTGATTGAAAATAAGGAGAAAGAATTCCAAACATTTTTATGTTGAGTTTTATCAACCAGTGACTAAAATAACAGGATTAAATAAGACGAAAATTAGCGTAATAAACTATATATTTTTTTATTGACTACATTACAAGACGGCATTTCACTGTAAGGGGCTTGCATTTCATCGATACTGAGACCTGGTTGCCATGACGACGGTATATGGGAAATGGGGTACATGGAACGGTATTAACCGGTCATTCACCAATATCTTTCAAGTATTGTAAGTTAAGTAAGCTGACAGTATAGTACCAGTATTGTGTAGTCCGACTCCCACGCCAGTCAACAGCACATAATACAATAGCAACACCAATAACGTCTTCTGTCATGGGTTAGCTAGAATTATACGCATATTCAGAGTGTGAAGGCGGTTCACTTAGGCTCGCGAAATAAATTATCTTGATCTGGTACAGTTTAAACATGTATGGCTTAGGGTAGCAACATGCATCCATATCTTATGGTAACCACTACACATGCTGCTTCGTCGTACTTTTGACGTTGTTCCTGAAGCTTCCTGAAGCCAGTTCCGATTGTCTGACATGATGCATATACCCTAAGGGATAACTCAGGTCCATCTCTTATAGCCTACAGGGCGGTGGGGTAGCCTAGTGGTTACAGTGTTCGGTCGTCATTCCGAATGACCGAGTTCGATTCCCTAAATGGATAGAAAGCCCATTTCTGGTGTACCCGCCGTGAGATTGCTGGAATATTGCTATAAGTGGCGTAAGAGTTTACTCCTTCGCTCTTATCACCTACAGTGCACTTGTAGGCTGGAATATATCAAAATCAAACCAACTGTCCCTTGCCGCATGTCACACCGACTACAGCAGCTTGCATAAACGTTTGCTAAATGTGGGCGGAACGCCTGAAATAACACATGTATACCCCTTAACAGACACTTAACATACCAAGATTCATCATTTATGCGGTATGGATTCGAACCTACATTCAGGGGACACAGCGGCGCTTTATATTATGATAATTACAACTTAGTATGACAATGCAACGACCTGGTCCATATATGTTGTGTTAATGACGTAGGTATGAGCACGAGTGGGTTGAACGCCGCTTTGAACAGTATTCAGTGATGTCACGATGTGTCAGCTTAATGGATGTGCGTGGGGGGGGGGGGAGGAGGGAGCCCGGATTCAGTAAGCTTTAGACTTTTACCTCTTCTTGAAACCAACAAACATGAGTGATGACAAACCTAGAAACATAATCACGGGGAATCTAGAATTAGAACCCACGACTATTCGCTGATACGATCGCAGGTGTCTGGCTCGCCTAAAGGGCGCAAGAGCTTACTGCGGGTTATACACGAGTAGGCCACCCGTCATTTGAAGAAGGAACTAATACTGTTATAATACATGCATGTTACAAAACTCCACCTGTGTCAAAGGGAGGGTTGTATTGACATGGCCATGTTTAACCTGTATGGTTTCGGGAGCCATTTGGATTATACCCATAGCACTAAACCGCAACATTAACGGCCATTATTGATATTTCGTTATGAAAATAACAATCGGTACGTCGGCTCCACATGTAGTTCTTTCTTCATATTCAGCTGTTCTCCTTAACACTGCTTATAAATATTAAAACCGTTACAAATTTCAGCTATTCTCTCACAAGAAAGTGACAATAATGTTTTGTACAAACATAAGTAATGAACGTGTGCCGGAGAATATGCTACACATGTCGGTTAATACTGCTATGCGAGCGCTGTTGCAGCCCTTGGTCGATCAACGGATAGATCTCAGTGCTAAGTCTGCCGTTATTCCCATACTTTAACACACATTAACGATAGTCGTAGCGCTAAGATCGCTTTGTTAAAAGACACCGTGGTCTCGAATCCTATCTCCCATGATAAGGCATGGTGCGTGAGTGAGTTGGGTCTGAAGCCGCTCTGAACAACATCATCCCGACGTGTCATCTTGATCGGAAGAAAGCAAATCGTGATGCGGGTCTCAAAACGATTAAGGCGAGCATGGTTTTGTGTTTACAAACATATTCACACCGAATCCAAGATTATATTTCTTTGGCGCTTCTAAGGAGCGCAACCCTGAGCAGTGAATTAGGACACATAATGCGAGTGGGCCATCCGTGTCGCCACTAGTTACTAGTGTCTAAGATCGGTGTGTGGACCGACGAACTGCTGCTGGTAGTGTATGGCGTGATGTATCAAGCATACGTTCTTATGGTAGTGAGTGAGTGAGTGAGTGGGTGGGTGCGTGGGTGAGTGGGTGAGTGAGTGAGTGAGTGAGTGAGTGAGTGAGTGATTATGGTTTTACGTCGCATTTAGCAATATTCCAGCAATATCACGGCGGGAGACACCGGAAAATGGGCTTCACACATTGTACCCATGTCGGGAATCGAACCCGGGTCTTCGGCATGACGAGCGAACGCTTTAAACACTAAGGCTACCCGACCGCCCCCTTATGGTATTAGAGAAAGTACCATCCCGTGAAACGTTTTGAATGCCGTGTATATTTGAAGTACACCACGTGGAAATAAAGGTCACGTGAACCAGCAGTCCGTCGGTTGAAGTGAATGTAGACCAGAGCCAAACTGTTTGATCTGGAAGTGTAATGTCGTGATTTGATGTCGTCAATATGGCCGACATTTCCCTTATCGCCTTCAGTGGATATTGAGGAAAAGCTATCAATCACAGCCAAACACTATTCAGTATCCGCTGGGACATGTGCACAGAGAATGACAGTTTATGGGAAGACATATTGATCGAGTTTGTCAATGTAATATCTAATAATCCAATATTTCAATAACTCCACTCGTGCTTGGCCGAATCTGTATGTTATGTGTAACTAGGGGTTTGTTTGTGGGGAGTAGCACTGTTATTGCCTGGTAGGCAGGACTGATGTTTGTTTGGTGTCGTCGCAAGAATTAGGGAAAGGTCCATCTTTGGGCGAGGATTTTATTGATGGTCTGCCGTTGTATTAACATGCGTGTGTTGATTGCGTGCGTGTGTGTTTGTGTGCGCGTGCGTGCGTGCGTGCGTGCGTGCGCGCGTATGTGTACGTGATGCGTGTGTGGATGTGTGGATTGGTGGGTGTGCGTGCACGTGTAGGTTCTAACACCGTTATCCACTTGCTTGATAACGGTGTTAGAACCTACACCAAACGTCGCTCTTAATTGTAATAAAGAAGTTGTTCATCCATAAATTATTTTCCTTACTTAGTACTCCAACTTCTAAATGCCTATCAAAGAAGTTACAAGCCTTGTCTTGACCAAACAGTCCAGAGACGGATAATGTGAGCAACGATCCTCGTGAATCAATGACCCGCTTACAACTCACCGAGTCTTAAGCAGTTTGCAATGTATCTGAAATATATTACACTGTTTGTGAGACGAGCATATGCACGCGCTGCTGTTAACGACATTGAATTACTCTCAGCTAGTATTGATTGCAATAAATCAACACTTTGAACCGGTAATCTTTCAATATTGATCGTTTCCGTGGAGTGATCCGTATTTGGTAATCATTTTGTTGCATACTGTTAGCGATAAAATGATATATTACGTCGTTCAAATTAAGATTGATATGATCTTTACTTTATAAGGGGAAGAACTCGTAGAAAAGTCCATTTCTAATACCCCGGACTTCATCCACCAAATGAATGCTAATGTTTCTATTATAACTGCCAGTTAATGAGTCAGTGAGTGAGAGTGCATAATTTTCATTCTCAGCTCCCAGGGGAGTATACAACCCAACCTAAGAGAGGCGCTAGAAGACATATTACAATCTCTTCCTACCGGGTACCCATTCACTGCTGGCTTTATATTATAGGGGCGGTCGGGTAGCCTAGTGGTTAAAGCGTTCGCTCGTCACGCCGAAGACCCAGGTTCGATTCCCGACATGGGTACAGTGTGTGAAGCCCGCCGTGATATTGCTGGAATATTGCTAAAAGCGGCGTAAAACCATACTCACTCACTCACTTTTTATTATATCAACAGTCACGATTAATAGTATTTACATATTTACTTTTGGAAAGAAACATTCATAAAAAATAGTTGCCAGGATATTCACAGCTACCTTTGCTATAATAGGGGAGCAATCGACTTGCCTCAGCATGTGTTTGTAAAGGGTGGCACCGGTTGGGCAGGATACGCTCACCTTTCCGAGTAACACATAGTATCATCACTATTTGATAGTGATTCATTAACACCAACTCATGATTTACACGGAATCGTTCAGTCGACTCTGTTTTGGGCAGGGATTTCTTATGAATATGGAAAGGGTTTTGTCGCT